CGGAATGTTATCACCCTTATTCATCCCGTGGGTGTCGTAAGAGCCGACTAAGGGAGCAAACTACAGGACAACAGCACTGCAAAGAGAAGGAAAACTTGAAACAAACCCTATACCAACCCGTCTGACCAGCGTGGTATAGTACGCCAAAACCTCCTATCTAAGGAGAGGCCTATGTCCAGCAGTGGACCATTATAGGCTGTTGATGTTGATGTGATGATGTGATTAATTATTAATCATAGTAGTAATAAAGGAGTTCTCATTAGGTGTAACAAATTTGGTTGACTGTAAAAATGTAATATTCCCTAAAAAAATACAATTATATTTAATAAGCTATTCTACTCGTATTTAAGTTGTCTATAAATTAGGTTATAAAAAATTCGTAAAATTTTGACATTATTTTTAGGAATTAATTTGGTAGAAAGTTTGCCCTCTTTATTCCTCGTTTTTCCCTACGTTAACTGTCATTATTCCGCTCCTAAAAGTAATACCATAATGTCACATAACATATATTCTATGTCGATAAATACTCTAACCAATAGCATCAGTATTATTTAAATCTGACTGTTGGTTCTTTTGACGATGGATAGAAAAACTGTGGCCGCCAAATATACTTACGAAAATGTTGTCGATTGCCTTTGTTCGTTCTTTTGTTTCGTATACGATTTTGAGTATACGTATTCATTATGACACCCTCCCGAACTGTGTCAGTATATTACCCACTATATTGGTAGATAACCTTCAATAAAAAGTGTAACAATACTGTCTACTTAACGATACATATTACTAAAATAATCCATACTTATTAATGTGAAAGTTTTTTTTGTTTGTTACGCTTTCACGCCTAAACCACTAAACCGATTTTAAACATTCTTTTACCCGTGGAAAGCTACATTATCGGCGAGTAACAAAGTCTACTTTTTACTGTGATAATCAACATACACGCGGACGGTATGAAAAAAAGCTGGTCTATAATTCAATAGTTTAAAACTTTAAAAAAATTTGTTCGTTTAAGCGCGATTATCTCAATAGCCTTCGGTCAAATTTGATTGTTTTTTTTGTATTTGAGTAGAGTATTTATTTACGATTGCTATAGACTATAAAACATCACGCTACGTCTCTCAGGAGCGGGGCAGTGACTATTAACGAGGGACATTGCAGGGAACAGATTGCCTATAGTATAGTTCTACATAGTGTGCAGTAAATAGTGCAACCCGCCACTCCTACGGTTTCTTTAAAAGGCTTTAGGCCGTTACTCCACAACTAAGCGATAAAACTCATAAATCACGCAGACGCTATAGTCCTATTTAAAAAAAAAAACATGCGAAAAGTTATCAATGATTGAATTGTTTATTTAACTAAAAAGATTGTAATTGACCATTGAAAAGATTGTATATACACGGTGTAAGGGAACGTCGTAACCAATACTGAAATAGTGTATTCAGACCATTATTCTGAGTCGAAAATAATTAGAATTTTCTGCCGGAAAATTTAACTTTTTATGCAATCAGTTGTCAAAGGTTAAGGTCATTCACCGTAAGTATCGCACAAAAGTAATAACTACGTGTGTATTTTGTGCAAACAGTCTACGCACACTACTACGGAGGCCCCGCGCGCTTCGGCTGTTTGATTAATTACAATGCAGTTTTTTGGTATTTATTCAATTTTTTTCGGTAAAATGTTCTGTCTACTGATTGTGATATCATGTGTAATAATTTTTAACTAGAAAAATGATGAATTTTCCGCAGTAAAATTCAATGATTTTAGACTCAGAATCAAGGTCTGAATACACTATTTCAGTATTCGGTACGATGCCCCTTACACCTTGTAAATGCTCTGTAGGTCTGTGGAGGCGTCTTCGGAGCCGAACTAAACGCTCACATTATGCAAACAAATTTTAGTCCCATTTAGATAATGGTGCGCACTGTCCGTAGTCCGTGTGGTGACGATTAAGAATACGGCGTGTCACCACCCTTATTCATACCGTAGGTGGCGTAAGAGCTGACTAAAGGAGGGCAACAGCACTGTAAAGAGAAGGAACTATAACAACCTGTCTGGCCAGCGTGGTACTCGTATAGTGGACCAAAACCTCCTTATTTAAGGAGAGGCCTAAGTCAAGAAGTGTACTATAAAAGGCTGTTGATGATGATTGATTGTAAGCAAGCCTATCGCCGTCAACAGGGCACTTTAGGTATAAGATGGGAACCACTGCGATGGCCAGACCGTGGACACGGCTCTCCACACGCTGGCAGAGTGCCCGGCGTGGGTTAAGCAGAGGCGAGACCTCGTGGCGGCCATTGGAGTGGGAGTTCTCTCGCTCGATAGCCTGATTGCGGCTATCGTTCGGAGCGAGAGTGCGTGGAACTCTGCCGTCTCCTTCTGCGAGCAACTTATGCTCGCGAAGGAGACGGCGGAGCGGGACCGGGAGAGGTTTAGGACTCTCCCGGCCCGCCAGGCCCGGGAACGGGCCAGGTACCGCAGGCGACTCAGGCGCCGGAGGTCGCAGAACGACCTCCGTCCTCCATAAGCGCAGGCCTGGGGGTGACAGGTGAGGCCATCTGTCACCCTAGCAGAAGCAGGCCGGGGTGGTAGTATTTTGCGGCAGTATTTTGAATAGAAAGGTATATAAGAAGGAAAGGTATGTTTGTGATACGGATGGAGTGGGAATTGATGACTAATTATAATATTTTCAAACATCTGACACACAACGCCATCTAGTTTCAAACTGAGCAGAGCTTGTACTATGAAAGCTAGATTGCCTGATAGGATTCTTACATACTTTTTTGTAAATACTTACATATTATACAAAAAAATACTTAAATTCCAAAACCAATATTTGCAGATTGTACAAACATTTGGTTTAACCCTGGAATCGAACCCGAGACCTCAGCACAGCAGTCACATACGCTATCACTGTACCCCCGAGGCAGTATTGCAAGCATTCAGAGTCACATACCTACCTGTAATTCAAATTTCTTTTCTTTCTTTATTAAAAAGACTTCTCCCGCATTAGTATATATCCTGTGTCGCTGGGGACCTTACAAACATACATGAAAAGGACACAAAGAACACCCAGACTCAGAACAACAATTTTTGGATCGCACAAAGTGTCGTCCTACGTGGGGATCGGATCCACAACATTCAGCGTAGTAGTGGGCGGCGAGGCGACCAAAAAATAAGTCGAAGTCGAAAATTAAGCAGAGTCTGTGTGTTCAGACTGCTGATAAACAAATTTAAACATTTCTAAATACATTACACTCAAGCACAGAAGAAATAATCGCTCTCATCACACAACTATTGGTCTTGGGTGGGAATCGAACACGTGTCCTCTGGGTAGCAATCAGGATCACTCACCTTTAGACCAACAGGCCCTTAGAGCATCAGCTTAGCATGTACTCGAGATTTTGGTCTAATAAGGTCGAAGTGCGGTGTGTTTCTTGTAATCAAAAGGTGGGCCGGGCCTACCGCGCACAACCCCCGAGTAGTCGCCTGCAGGAGTCATCGGGTCCCCTCATGTTGGGCAGCAGACGCGCCAATGCACGCCCTGCTCCAATCAACTTGGGGACCAGATCTCGGAAATGATGTTCGAAGTCCCATCGGCCATCGAGTACTGGCCCCAGATACCTCATCGAGGGTTCGATGCCGACGCGACTGCCTCCTACTATGAGGTTGGATTCCTCAGGTCGCTTCGGTCAATGAAAGAACAAGGTCTCGGATTTGTGCAGAGTCACAAAAGGAAAAACGACCCAGCCGCAGGAAATACGTAGCATATTGGCAGCGTTCGGTTATGATACAGAGGTTTTTTTTAGCCTAGTATTATACCAGTATGTGTTATTATTTTCTACTCGTAGCTCTACTGTGGGTGGAGTTCGTGCCTTACAGCAAACGGCTACAATTACTTAACGTTCAATGCACTTTTAAGCGTCCAATGACTGCACGGATGGCGTAGTGGTTTAAGCGGTCGCCACGCCGCTTTCTATTGCGCCGAGTGTTGTGGGTTCAAACCCCCCATGGGATAACACTTTGTGTGATCCACAAATTGTTGTTCTGAGTCTGGGTGTACTTTGTGTCCGTTTCATGTATGTTTGTAAAGTCCCCCGCAACACAGGATTTATTCCTAGTGCGGGATTGTCTTTTTTTAAATAGAAAAATAGAAATAGAAGCCATTACTCACAGTAAGGGAGGGGCAATCAGATGTGATAGAATTATTTAGTTGCAAAAACACTATGTCCTCTCTCTGCAGAGCTACTTCAAATATATATTTTTCATATGCTATATTTATAATTTTAGTCTTATTTACGTAATAATAGTGACCTCTGTCCGCCTAGGGGTCACTCGAAGGGGGGACGGTGGGGGGGGGGATTGATAATAATATGTTTATTTGTCAGAATATGGGAATACAGAGTTGTTAGTAGTTACATTTTAGATGCCACATGATTTTACATAGCAACATTCTACCATTGACTGGTGAACAAAATGTTGGTAGAGTGAATTAATGTGTATTTTTTTTATCCAGGTACAACATTATCATGCATTATTGTCATATGTCACAATTTCTAATGGACAAAACATTCGAAGAATTCTTAAAGACTTAAGAATACGGAGTGTCACCACGCCTATTGATCTCGTGGGTATCGTAACAGCGGACTAAGTAAAGGAGCAAACTACGCAGGACAACAGCACTGCAAGTAGAAATGAAACTTAAAACAAACCCTATACCAAACCGTCTGGGCAGCATGGTATAGTAGGCCAAAACCACCTTTTTAAGGAGGTGCCTTGGGTGCCTGTTGTCAGTAGTAAAAAGCACCCCACGCTTTTTTTAGTTTTTTTAAACTATTTTTTTTTCAATATTTTTTTTATTTTAAATTAGTGTATTGTCAGCGGTCCTCGATATATCTACAAAGTTTAAACGAATTCAAATTCCGGTCAAAATCACGCCCAAAGGAGTCGGTTACAATAAAAAACAATAAAAATCGTGTAAAAAGTTATAGTTGCTATTGGCAATGGCAAAGTTGCGGGCAAGTGAGCACTGGCCCATGCTGGCCCATGCATGCTGCTTACTTGCTCGCAACCTTTTAGTATCCAGGTGTAATCGGGTAATGTTTTGTAAAATTTACACGTTCGTGACATATATTCATAAATGATGTGTCAAATTAAAGCATTTTTTTTCTGTGAACAATAATTTGATTTGCCTGACGTTTAAGCCAGGTTATATTGGCCATGGTCAGACTGACCTTTGAGTGTGAGTGAGTCAGCCTGTGACCACGATATTATAATACGTCTTTATCAACCCCCTTTGGGGATAAAGACGTAAGTGTATAACATGTTCATATTTATATACTTATCATGTAACGCGAAACTTTAAAAGTTAGTATAATAATCATCCACAGCCTATAACAGTTCACTGCTGGACATAGGCCTCTCCTTAGAAAGGAGGTTTTGGCCTACTATACCACGCTGGCCAGACGGGTTGGTATAGGGTTTGTTTCAAGTTTTCCTTCTCTTTGCAGTGCTGTTGTCCTGCGCAGTTTGCTCCCTTAGTCGTCTCTTACACTCCGTATTCTTAATCCGTCACCACACGGACGAGTATAATAATAGCATGTGTAAAAAGACCGTTGATCACGTCATGCACGAGAAAAGATAGAAAAATATTAAAATAATTTCTTCTTTTGTTGCAGGAGGTATCATAGGACTTCTGATTGGTCTTCTGTTGCCTCAACGCTATGTTGGTAAGTTATATTTGTAAATTTATTTAGGACAACTTACAAAACATACACTAACATAGTTTACAACTACAAGTTAACATACATAGTTTACAAACATGTTTTACAAATATGTGCTAGGTGTTGTCTTACTTACAAATTGCCACGGCATGGTAAGGGACAGTTACATCTAAGATTATACAAAGCAATATCTATAATAATATACAAAACATACAGAACATCATAGAAATTAATTAGAGACAGTGATGCATTTTAAAGTGGTCTAAGAACGTCTAAATGACGCAATAACTTTGCTTTTAAAATTTTAAGACTGTTGAATATTCCCACCAGAGAGCTAGACCCAGAGACCTAGACCCAGAGAGCTAGACCCAGAGAGCTAGACCCAGAGAGCTAGACGTCCGCGTGTGTCTGGACGTCGGTCGCCTAAACGGCACGTCTTACTAGCAGGGCAGGCGCTTGGAGCGGTCTGGATATCTTAATAGGCGCTGTTGCCGGATCCCTTCTATATTTCGTTTTTTTAGGGTAGTGTAGTAGTGTGCTATAAAAAATATACGTAAAAACAGCTACACGAAGTCCCAGTATATAATTTGACCTGTAATATTACAAAAGTCTATACAACGACAGTTCAAGTTATACTGGGCAACGAAATACAACAAGACATTTAAATCAAAATTCTACAGCCAGGCGATCTTTAACAATGTGTTTGATGTCACAGAACTGGAGGTGTGGCCCCGGTCCGAGGAGTACCCCAACTGGAACCAGCCTCTGATCCACATACGCTCCAACGATCCTGGCAGCTGGCTCCACTGGTACAGGAGACTCAATGACTTCCTTAAAGGTAACTTAAATACATTAGCAATAAAATCTTTCCATCAATAAGTGAAATTCTTCGTATGTTTTTCAAAACTATTTCGCAAACGGAGTTTGGAGTAATTGTTTTTTTTACCGGACGTTTTTATTTTCGGGCATCTAACACACAACGCCATCTAGTTTCAAACAAAGCAGAGCTGACCAAAGCTAGATTGACTGATAGAATACTTTTTTTTTGTAAATACATGCATTTTATACATAGAAGCACCCAAACTCCTCTCTAACAAATATTTGAAGAGGATACAAATATTTAGTCCTACCCGGGAATTGAACCCAAGACCCCAGAACAGCAGTCGCAGACGCTACCACTGCGTCACCGAGGCAGTTTTTGTATAAAAGAAGTGTGAACACGGGCTAATGTGAGGTCTACCAACAGAATACGAGACCACTGTCCCCGAAGACCCGCCCCGCGCGCCTTGCTCCGTCTACAACCGTCTTGATCCGCACAGTCGTTCAGACCCTTGTGACATAGCCATGAGAATATGGGGGCCGTGCTCTGCCGACAATTTCTATGGTTACGTAGAGGGAAAGCCTTGCGTGTTTCTTCGGCTGGCTTATGTAAGTACATAATATAATAGTGTTCCTTTAGTGTTTTTAAATTAAATAACTTGTTTTTCTTATGTTCATAATGTTCTCCTAAACGAGTCTTTGGTAATTTCGATTTGTCTGCATTTCTTTTTTAGTTTTAATGTTACAGTATTGTTGCGCCATATGATTAAATGGTTCGATTGTATTAAATGTGTAGGACAGCGCCATCTAGTATCGACTAAATTACATCTATTAAGATTGTGGTTAATACGAGTAGTTCTGATCCTTCCAGCGCTAGATGGCGCTGCAAGTAACGCGTGACTGTTTCTGGTTTAGAACGGACAAACCAGAATCAGTCACGCGTTCGTGAATTATTGTTGATTTGGAACGGACTATCGAATACTAGAGATTTTTCTATCAAATTCAAAAGTACTATAAAAGCGGAGCGTGTTCGCCATTCGAGACAGTATCGTTTTACGACAGCGAATTAACATCGGAGTAAATTTCTACTGCGACTAACAAGATATATAGTGATTTCTAGTCTATTGTAGTGAGTGTTTGTAAATACAGTGAAATAAAGTAATTAACCGACACCTTTTATTTATTATATACCCCGCTCGTAACAGTACTTATGTTAATTTTATTTTTAGATTTTTAAAAAAAGAAGTAAATAATAATATAGGTACACACCGTTAGGTCTTTAACACTTTTTTACCGTTAAATTGTCAAAAGCAAATTGAGATCGTAAATTTTCAACCCAGATATAGTGAAGGCTTTCACCTTTGGTATTGTGATTAACAGTTACTATACACTTTTTTCACTTTTCGAAAACGTATGAAAACAGATATTTTAAGAGTCAAAAAGCGTAGTCTCACGAGTAGTAAGTTACTTAACAAACAACTTAAAAAAATATTATCAACATTTCTTTGCCAGTGGGTTTAGTTGTATTATTGTGTATTGCGGTGTTCTTTTTGACAGGCGCTTTAGTTTTTACCGAACTTTCGAGTTCGGAACGGGTTTCAAACGACTGTAAAGGTAAGAAGCACCATCTTGTAATAGGGTGAAACCAAATAAAAATCTTTGCGTTCGAAAACTGTACTTATGTATGTAACGAGAAAATCATAAATACATATTTCTTTTTTATGGTATAAGGGGGCAAACGAGCAGACGGGTCACCTGAACGTAAGCAACTACCGCCGCCCACTTGAGTCAGCGGGAGGGGGGATTTGGGCGCCGGTAACCTCACTCACTCAGTGTCAACGAAAGAATTGCTTAACACCGGTTTTCTGTGGGGCCGTGGTATCACTCCGCTCGCGCCGGCCCATTCGTGCCCAAGCATAGCTCTCCCACGGTAATTTGTAAAAGAACTTAAAAACGACATATTTTTTCTTTCTTTTAAAAGTCAACTCTCGCATTAGGAATATATCCTGTTTCGCAAACTTCACAAACATACATGAAACGGACACAAAGAACTCAGAACAACAATTTGTGGATCACACAAAGTGTCGTCCCATGTAGGGTTTGAACCCACAACAATCGGCGTAGTAGGAAGCGGCGTGGCGTCCGCTTAAACCACTACGCTATCCGTGCAGTCAATTATTATTATTAAAAAAAAATCGGTTGTCTGTAAAGTCGGTTTACTGACGATAGTTGAACGTGACAACGTCATAAGAAAATACTGATGGAATGGTTGCATTTTTCAAAAATGTATTATTGTATACGAGTAGCAGCTGTCCACGCGGACGCATCGCTCACTCAAGTAGGAGAGAGACAGATGTCGAACGCTGCCGAACGCGGAGGCCGATTGTGCCTCTTTGTCACTCGTTCCGCGCTCTCGCTTGCACTTCACGCCTTAAATGGAACGCCTCAGAGCGAGGTAACGCCGCATGAGTCATGTTTTTTCGTGCGTGCAGCCGGCTCCATCGAATTATAAGACGTTGTCACGTCAAAAAAAGGCTGGAACTATCCATTGTTTACATACACACTGATTATTAGTAAGGGTAGTGAGTAACGCCTATTCACAGCTTTTACATTTACAAACTATACTTTTGTTAAACAGATGTGTAACTTATTTTTATTAGTAAGGCTATTGACATTTTAATATTTACACTTAGGCCCAAGTGCGAATTTATTTCACGCCAACTCGCTCTCGACACCGAGCGCGTTTGGAGTTGTGATTGGTGCAGATTTCAGTGCGGGCCAATCACAGCACCGTGAGTAGAAGTGAAATAAACTCGCACTTGGCCCGTATATACATTACTAGCTGACCCGCGCAACTTCGTCTGCGTCTCTCAATAGTAATAAATTTTCTCCGTTTTTGAAACATTCTTCATTGGTGCTCCGCTCCTATTGGTCTCAGCGTGATGATATATAGCCTATAGCCTTCGTCGATAAATGGGCTATCTAACACTGAAAGAATTTTTCAAATCGGACCAGTAGTTCCTGAGATTAGCGCGTTCAAACAAACAAACAAACAAACAAACAAACTCTTCAGCTTTATGATATTAGTATAGATAATCTATACTTGGCCCTCTGATGCTACTGCATGCACATGCATACTTAACATTTTATTGAAAGAACATTTAGTTCTTCCAAACACGTATTTGTTTGTGTCGTCTAACAGACATGAGGACATTGCGACTTGTAGCAAAATAAGTAATAGAAATGTTTATTATATTGTACAGCTCCACTACTGGGTGCCTCATCCTTACAACATGAGTACGTCCCTGCCTATACCTGCAGATATGCCTAACCACATTAAACAAGCTATGGTAAGTTTATTATTTACATACTCATCATCAATCATCATCATCAACAGCCTTTACTAGTCCACTACTGGACATAGGCCTCTCCTAAGAAAGGAGGTTTTGGCGTACTATGCCACGCTGGCCAGACGGGTTAGTATAGGGTTTGTGTCAAGTTTTCCTTCTCTGTGCAGTGCTGTTGTCCTGTGTAGTTTGCTCCCTTAGTCGGCTCTTACGACACCCATGGGATGAATAGGGGTGGTGAAACTCTGTATTCTTAATCCGTCACCACACGGACATACATACTTAGCTACACTTATATTTGAATCTTTTTATAATCTCTATATATCTTACTAGCTGACCCGCGCAACTTCGTCTGCGTCTCTCAATAGTATTAAATTTTCTCCGTTTTTGAAACATTCTTCATTGGTACTCCGCTCCTATTGGTCTTAGCGTGATGATATATAGCCTATAGCCTTCCTCGATAAATGGGCTAACTAACACTGAAAGAATTTTTCAAATCGGACCAGTAGTTCCTGAGATTAGCGCGTTCAAACAAACAAACAAACAAACAAACAAACAAACAAACTCTTCAGCTTTATATTATTAGTATAGATTGAAAGCAAGTTTACTTCAAACATTTTGCTAACATGTAATTTTGTTCTGTTTACGTTATCGGGGCAAGCTTTTCCTCTTTGAGAGGTAAAGATGGCATTTGAAGTACATTGAAAGAGAAAAGTACTCAAGAAAAAGTATATTTTGGATTTACAGATGGATTATAATTATAATACTAACCTCACAAATCTCACACATGGCTGTCTGATTCCATACTAGGCAGAGCCAGTACTATAGTAACCAGACTCCTGATAAACGTACTTATAAATATATGTACATACATATTATGGATAAAGTACACCCAGACACTGAACAAATGATCGTTCTCAGCATACAATTATTTGTTCTGGGTGGGAACCGAACAGGCCCGTCTGGGGCCATTGGAAAGTCTTTGCTTATCAAAGCTTATGGAAACCACGGTTGCAGGTTGTAACTTAACATTCAGTTATTTGGAGTCCGATTCCTTTTTTTTTCTGTGCGAAATCCCTTCCTATACTACCCATCGGTGGTTATATCGGACTCTAACCGACTAAAAACGTCAAGCCATTTTAGGTACTAGTTGCCGGGGAACCAGGTGTACCCTAGAAAGGAAATCCCTGGAACCCCGACGTACCCCGGGCCATCTACGGCATGTATGACGACCCCCTTATGTGTTGGCACAATGGTGCTCCTGTTCCACAAATTAAGGGCGTGTCGCGCCCTCAATCCGGCCTGCTTCTGCTAAGGTGACTGATGGCCTCACCTGTCACCCCCAGGCCTGCGCCTATCCAGGACGGAGGTCGTTCTGCGACCTCCGGCGCCTGAGTCGTCTGCAGTACCTGGCAGTTCTAAATCTCTCTCCGCTCCGCCGTCTCTTTCGCAAGCATAACTTACTCACAGAAGGAGACGGCGGAGTTCTACGCGCTCTCGCTCCGTACCATGCCCCCTCCCTTGCTTTTACCACGCCTCTGCTCAACCCACGCCGGGAGTCCGAATCCCTCTGATATTGTTACAACGCTCAAAATAAAGCATTAAACAGTATTTCTGATAATGTTAGAGTATTTTATTATGTTTTTTTTTTCTGGCGAAACTATTAAATTCCGATAGGCTTGTGGCTAATTGTAACCGAGTAGGTTAACACATTGCAAAGATAAGCAACCCTAGCCAGGTCAGTCTATGGATGGATAAACGTTTCTTAACACATGGAGACCCCTCCGTCCTAACGTGCCCCATCGTTACGGGTTGTTGGAGCCCTAAAAAGCCAATCCATCAACATTTATTATTCTTTTCATAGAACTTCGACATCGCCTAGTACTTGGGTCTTGGAGGTCTGATGGTAGTCGCTCCACGTAGAAAATAGTAGTTCAGACGTATCGTAGTAGACTTAAAGCCAACACTTACTTAGTTTGTATATTTATTTAGTTCAGTATTAGTTTAGTTATTCCGTTGTAAACCTCAGTAAAAGCACAAAAAAAAAGAATCAAAATAGTCAGAAGACTTTAATGGTAATAAAAATATAATTTTCTATTACTTTACATTAATCACTGTAACGGATCCGATTGTGGTGACGGATTAAGACCGTAGATACGTAATGTCAACACCCCTATTCATACCTTGGGTGTCGTAAAAGTCGACTAAGGGAGAAAACTACGCAAGACAACAGCACTGCAAAGAGAAGGAAAACTTGAAACAAACCCTATACCAACCCGTCTGGCCAGCGTGGTATAGTAGGCCAAAACCTCCTTTCAGAGGAGAGGCCTATGTCTAGCAGTGGACTATCGTAGGCTGTTGATGTTGATGAATTACTATTTATAAGTTTACACTTGCTAAATAAATATCATATCCTTTATACCAGCGTTTCTACGACACTCGTCAATACGGCGATTACATATGGGTGGCCTGCGAGGGGGAGTTTGCCGCAGACAAAGAGAACATAGGCCCCATTCAGTACATCCCAGCAGATCTTCCACCAGGATTCAAAACCTCTCGTCTACATACCGCGGACCACATACCTTACGCCACCAGAAACTTACCTGACCACGTTCCTGGGCCTCTGATTGCTGTGTATTTCGAGAATCCACGACGTGAGTATCTACATATATACTGCTATATACCCGCAGAGCAGAGCAGAGGAATGCAGAGTTAATTTGGCCGTTCTTCTCGTAAGGCTCAACCCCTTAGAAACGGGCGATTGTAGATCGGCACAGGCATATTTTGGATTTACTTCTTTTGATAAATATTTGACAAAACAGAATGAGTCTAAGACGATTTCATATACTTTTAATTTTGTTTTATGAAATTAAGAAATTTTGAGTTTAAGCGTAATAAACGCACTCATTTTGCCAATTAATATTTTAGCCCCAATATTGACGTTGACGTCAATGGCAATTTCTTTGTAGCATTTTTTAAATATAGTCAATTTAATAATAATAGTAATTTAATTTTGTTTTTGTTTTCCAGGTGGCCTTGTAATCAATGTAGAATGCCGTATCTGGACCCGGGATATTTACTACGATCGCAATAGCAACGTAGGACGAGCTCGTTTTGAATTGTACATCGACTAAATCAACAGCACTGTTTCTGTATTATTATTTTATAAATTCGTTATCTATGACAACGAATTTTTGTTTCGATAATATTTAAAAAAAGATCAGGTAATAGAAATACAGAAAATTACGGTAGCAGGTATGTTGTCTGAAAATTAAAACGGAAAATAATAGACTAGTTATGTTGACGGACGGTTATGGAGCATTTAAACAACAAAAAAAAACATTTAAGAAGCTATGAATATGAATACCTTGACGTTTCTTATTTGAAACCAATCCAAGCATAATGCTACAAGTATAGCGTAAAGTATTTAAGCAACTAATACATAAATATTGATCTCAATGGAAAAAAAACTTTTAATTTTTTTTCTACTATTTCTGTTTTATAAATATACGTCTAGCAATAATTTATTGTTCTGAGTGCAAACTGACATATTAGTTTTAATGGATGACGTGAATAAAACTGTAAAGTACATATTGAGTTTAGGTTATAGTTATATCGATAATGGATTCGTATGATTGTCCCGTGTGTTCTTTTACAATGAACTTGCAATATTTATCATTTAAGGTTTTGCTAAACTCTTATAAATTAATATTTAATATTGTAACTTTCGTGGAACTTCTGAATATAGTCTGGAATAGTTGGTTATTGTGGTAGTCTAATTTGAACTTTGTAAAAATGGTTTTTTACACTTTTTATGTTGGTAATATACCGCATTAATATGTAGGTATGGAGTGTGGAGGCAAGGAGAACGATCTCATTTTAGAATTAGGAGGATTTATGTATACCTATCACCATTTCAAAATGAATCCATCCAAAGGTTGCCTGGAAGAAATTGCACTAAGCGATAAGGCCGCCCTTTGTACATTACATCGGTCGTTAATTACTGTATAATGTGTGTAAAACATTGGTGTACAAATAAAGTATTTATCTATCTATCTATCTATCATACGAAGGGAAAGTTGAAAAAGTGTCCAGCTGTATGCTGAAAACAGAGGTCGCTGGAGTACGAAAAACTACGATATGAACATAGCTGTTTTAGACGGGGTGAAGTGTGCCGAGTTAAAATGTTATAAAGTTTTTATTGTCTGCAAGTTATTACACGTTTATTTATTGTCTGTATAACTCTTTCACTATTTTCGCAGTCTAGTACACAGTGTCGTATTATTATTTAAACGAATATAAACTTATCCTATGCTACCGCAGCGCAACCCTTATTGGACGCTTTTTAAGTGACACTTTTCATACATAGAGATGGTTCTCCTTGCCTCTAACCTCTATATATCGCAGTCCCCGACGAACAAAATCGTAATAGGAAAATAACAATTTTACAGGAGCAAATAAAAACTGAATATCTTGAATACTATCAAGACTAAAAAGAAGATTCTTTTATCAAAAATAAGGAAATATTTTTTTGCAATAGATTTTTACTAAATTTTTATCATAAATTTTCTTTATCAGTAAGAAAATTGTGAAAATGTCCATTACTGAAATAAGCTATGGAAAAAATTAACGCAAACTAACTTTACGATAGTGTTCGACTGTAATCACAAATCGGTGTTGCTGTAGTAATCGTTCATTATGATATTGTTCCATGGTAAATATGAATATACTTTATATTCGTAAAATGACATTGCAATCTTATTCGATGATATAACTGACTTTAATATTACGGTAAACATAAATTACATGCTTATTCGATGATCATTTTTAGGTGTTATAACCATTTCGGTACCTATGTATAAATTCTGATTCTGATTCTGTCATTTTTCCCTCGAACAATATGGTAATAGCCGCTTACTCTAAAATGTTGACTTTTGAGATTTGGTAATAGGTTTTTGCGTTATTGATCGTGTAAATTTTTCACTTATGTTATACGTTGAACAAAAACATAAAGATCATTATTGAATGGATAAATCCAAAAGTATTCATCGCCCGATCATAAAAAAAATTCAATGATTGTAATAGGGTGTGTAGATAACGAATATCTAATAAACCCGATTCTATCGTAATAGCGATTACCATAGTGTTCGTCGGGGACTGCGATATGTAGTTAACCCTAGTTTAGTTTAATTTACAAGTAGTTTCCACAAACAATAAATTGGAGATTTTGAATTTATTGGACTCATGTAGGTACAGCAAACCATTTTTTTTTGCCGTTAAACCAACTTCAAATTCGATTAATCGCAATCGCATAGATGTACTGAATAGAGTGTGTATGTCTACACTAATTTTGAACAAGAGGAATGATTTGATTGTTTGTTTGTTTGTATTGAATAGGCTGCGAAACTACTAGACTGATTTGACAAATTCTTATGCCATTAAAAGCCGACATTATTCTAAACGGCTGAACCGATTGGGTTGAAATTTTATATGGGTATTTTGATGGTTTCCTCTATGATTTGAAAATGCAATTGGACCCGGTAGGTGACGCTGCTGTCGGTATGTCAACTACTAAACTAATGTGTATTTCCACGGTTTACAGACACGGACGTATTATGCCTACCTGATCGATCTTTCTATAAATGTGTGTACTACGCGCATATTCAGAACGATTGCACCAAATGTCTTATTTTTTTAAATGGGTACAACAACTGCGCGAAGCTGGGCCGGGCAGCTAGTATATAATCACAGATAACTATATACTAGTCAGAGATATATAATATAGGGTCGCCGCGTCTCTGTCGCCTTGATATTCCATACGTGAGTTCAATGCAGTTGAGGACTAAGGTGAAGAGCGGGAGCATATTCCCTCTCAGCCCGCTAACATCGCCTCGCCCGCCCTCAGTCAAATCTCTTAAGTATTAATAAATGGCGTAAATAGATATTGTGTGAGAGACATAGTTGGGAGAGCGTCCTGTATGCTTGTGTGTTTATTTTATTTTTTAAATTTATCCATTAATATTTAGAGTTACGACATTTATTTTTTTGGGCCGACAAAATGCACCCAGTATTGCCATAATAATCTGTTAATACCTATTTAGTATTAAAAGATTTGTATTTATATAAGATCAATTATTAATTATAAATATGATAATTTTAATGTTAAACACATCTTACTTAAGGATTTTCGTAAAAATTATTGTGATTGTTGTGTCTAAATGTTATTTATATATTAAGTCTACTTAATGTTGATAATATTTAATCTGTGTAAGTTATTTAAAACATGACCATAGAAATATTAAAAAATTATTCCTGTTGTAATTATTTAAAAAGTCTTGACAGTTCCATAACAGTTCAAGTTATACAAAATATTAATCTCATAGATAATTTATCTGGCTACAAAAACAAAAGTTAAGCGGCAAACGGTGTGTGCGACAGATACATTTTACACACACACACACATAGTGAAAGCGGAAAGGAACGTAGTGAACAAGAGTTGGACATTATTTTTTTTTAACGCCTTTACAGCAATGACAGTTTATCTAGATATATCTATGATCTCAATTTTTTTTTATTAAATTTTTATAAAATATGAAAATTCTTGTTGTACCAAATAACAAAATGTTACCTTTATAAGATCTGTAAATAAACACAAACGTTAATTTATATCCAATGCTGTGTTTACGAGTATTTATAGTTTACAAAAGAGTTTTGAACTTCATTCACCTACTTCTATGTGATCTATAAAGTATTATGTGAATAAAGACGTTCCAAAATTTCGTTTAATCTTATTTCTCATGTGTAATATCTTCTCTCTTTCTGTCTTGTAATCTGTGGAAATGACTTCATCAGAAGGGACGGAAATGTAACAGAAAGTCGAGAAATCGAAGTGCGCTATTAGCAAAAAGTTAACACTGCGTTAGACTTGACGCGGACGTTACAATCATCTGATGCGACTACTATCACGTTACCTCGTCTTATGATTACATGTATACTCCGCAATACAAAACTTAATTAAAATATACTTTCCAATTTCCATAAACTTTTGGAAATATAGTAATAAACTCCATGACCTTAACTTATATTTTTAAAATGAAAAAGAAAAGGCAGTTAGTTGTTAAAACAAGATTGTATAGTATTCCTGACCAAAATAAAATTACCTACCTAATAGGAATGCGAATAGTAGAAGAGATAAAGTCAAATAGTTATTCAGAACAGGCTTCTTCTTCTAGGGACTTAACCCATAAAATATTACTTTTTTCAGTGGCGGCTTTAGCAACTGCGAGGCCCCAGGCAGGTAGATCATTGCGAGGCCTTTGTCTTTGTGATATTAGTTTTAGTGATGATGCTTGGAACAAAAATGCAACGCAATGTATACTGCTGCTAGAACTCAATTGACACTGGATTGGAAGCCTGTCAACATAACAGGCAGAATGAATCACGTAAAATCCCTAAACATAAATAAGAGCGCGAGTAACGAGTGGCGAGGCCCCGGCAAGAGCTAGGCCCTGAACTGTTGTCCTGCTTGCCTCCCTCAAAGGCCGCCTGTTGGTAAGTGACTACCGCTACCATAGGCGCTCGCTACTCAAGAGTCATATAATGGCTTGCCACCCTGTGAATGCCGTCCCCCAAAGAATAAGGGGGAGGAGTCGTTTGGGTTCTGGTAACCTCACTCACTGGGTGCAAAGCAAGGAAAAGATTGCTGAACACTGGTTTTTGTTGAGGCCTTGGTATCACTCCAGTCGAGCTGGCTTATTTGTGGCGAACATAGAGATATAAGCATATAGAGAACACACAGCTGCCACTTACAAGTGGAAGCCATACAGGCAGACGAGAGAGATGGATGCCCTATAATTATCTCTGTCTATGTTTGGCTAAACTGCGATTGGTTTTCCTGAAGTTGGCATGGTTTTGATCATAGAACAGGCGGAAGATTAAAAATTTCCCTAACAACCACAGAGCTCGACTAGAAAGATATTGAGGGAACTATCTACTATCCATCTCACTCGTTGCCTATATTGCAGGATTGACGCTCTTGTTCACTATATGCTTATATCTCTACGGTGGCGAAGCATAGCTCTCCCACGGCGAGTCCTCCTATTCAGTTATGTGACATGTCATTATGTAAGTTATCGTAACCTCCACCTACATGATTTAACACAAAATATGCACTGAATGACGGACTAAAAATAATAAACTTTAGTCACCAAAAACATACACTCAATACAACTTGTTTATAAATAATGTTTTGACAATGTTATGAATAAAATAATTAAGCTACATTTAGGCTCTGGCTCCAAAACTAGGTCTATCACTTGTAACTTGGGAGCCAAAAATGGCTTTACGTTTAATTATATTATGATAATGTACTGTTAGTACAGAATGTGCGGCGCAAAATAATTTCATATTAAAAAAATAAACTGGCTGGTTTTTAACGAGATAATTCGGGTGAAAGTATTAGTTAAAATCATAAATCTCCCGAATGGCAGATGCATGACAGAGCCGCTAAGACGTGCATTGTTTCATTATTGTTACATTTAGTTCATAAGGCAAGTTCTTCTTTAATAGTTCACTATGCATCACGGTGAACTTCAATACCAGACAAAAAAACGTAAATAAAAATAAAATTTAGATATAAGTTAATACACATAAACATTGCATCATGTCTGTGACATATAAAATAAACGTGATGATTTCATCACGTTCATTTTATATGTAATTTATTTACGTAAAATAATTGAGCTGAATAATAATAATTTGTGTCTCGTTACAATATTATACACAATTTTCACATAGGTGTCAAAGACTTTTTAAATATAAACATAATTAATTAATCAATATGCCTGAAACTGGAGTTTACTTCTAAATACAAATTTGTACAATGTAATAATACAAAAGATTACTTGGCAACCCTACTTTATAGTTTATTCAAGACTAATTAATTTTAAATGTATATATTCTATTTACAGACAGTGCCACTAGGCGATTGTACTCCAATAACCTAAATTTTTCACCCTTACTAAGAACTAGAGTATCAATATAGAATTTGATAATTCTCAAATCAAAAAGGTACAAATCAAAACTTAATTATAGTAAATTATTTGTAATTGAACTGGCAACCCACTACAGCTGTCTATAGTTTGACACACAGTCAGTAGTTATCTATTCGTGAACGTTTCTCTCCACCGGATTATCGTGGTATCATTTATTTGCACCGCATTTATAATTTGTGGAACAGTTCGTGTACCCTTATCTATAGCTTAGCGTCGCAATTGATGAAAAAATGTCTCGCCTTAGGTTTTGTTTGTTGTTAGCAGTGATATGCAGTTGCTCTCACCTCGGTAAGTGTATTTCATAAAACTATTTGTGTTGCAATACGTTCTTTGTTGCTTTTTATCGTTATGTCGGTACGAGTGCACCGTTTGAATGCTTTGTTGTCGTGATTGAACGTTATTTGCTGAATTGGAGACAAAAAAAGTCGATATTGCATTGTCATATTTCTGTGTGATTCTAGAAAAATGTACCCGCTATTGATGGCTACGCAATTATCGGCTTTTGCTAGTTAACTAGATAACTACATTCGTGTATCTGGTTTAACAACAGTTTTTAATCAAATGGCTGTATTGTGTTGGTTCTTAAGCCTAAACACAGTTTCAAATTAGAACAATAAAAAAGTAACAGGCTGTCTTTTTTTTCTAGTTAAAGATGATAGCAACATTGACAAAGCAACTATGAATAACCTGTTTATGAGTCTAACAATTATTGTCAGGTCAAATCTTCTTTTTACATAGGACAATAGTAATTATTCAACAAACACAAATGTTCATGTTCAAACATAATTTTTATTTCATTCCACTTCTAAACACAATCAAATTATTCTTATTAAGTGTCTTTTGACATTGGCTTGTAAAAATTATTAAAAATAAAATGTACTACCTATACTTAACCTTAAAATGACTCAATTATCAACAATCATCACTTTAAAAATTGAAAACTCATGAACTCTTCTTCAAGGTCAGCCATAATAAACAACATTAGAGTAATGCAAAAGGAAAATGTTTATTATATGCAATGTAGAAAATGTTTTCTTAGTTCCTTACAGATACACAAACAAAAAAAAAACTTTGCTTTTGATGCAACCTATTTCATCATAGACAAAATGTTATGGTATCATAGACAAAAATATTAATTAGGTTAAAATCGTAATTGTGATATAAGGCCAAGTTCTTTGTCACAGAAAAAAAAATAATTTAGTGCCAAGTTCAACCATGTTTTAATATTTTTGTGGTTTTATAAAGTTGTTTTGTACAAGTATTTTCTAAACAAAAAAAAAATTGTGAAGTCCTCCTTTGTTTTGACTTTCTAATGAAATGCATGTAACCTAACCTATTTCAAATACAATGGTATTTTGGGAATATTTTTTTTGTGTTCTTTATTTAAACCTGACACACAATCCTCTGGTTATTACTTTATAAGTTACAACTTCAGGTTTTATATTGATATGAACGTTTTGATGTTGGAGGCTAATATTATTAGTGGTATTTTATTATTTATCGAGTCAACTGCTAAACAAATGCTAAGGTCAACTTTTACTACCTTAGAAGCAACTAAAAAAATATATGTATTTTATAATGAGATTTTTTTTTATAATTAATTAATGTTGATATTACTTTTATATTTTATAAATATAAATAAATATAAAGAAACAGTTTCTTCTTTTTTTAAAAAAACTTCTTTAGCTTCTGTACATATATATTCAAAACTTCTTCTTTTTCATAGCTGATTCCAGAACATTAAACCTTCAACATTTCTTGCATATGATAATACCAGTTACATGAAAAAAAAACCAGAATAATAATATTACCCCACACATGGGAAACCGATTGAAACGATAGTTTTCTTCCGAGACATGAAATTGTTGATACCTCAAACAATTATATTTTATTTCATTGTTAACAGGTCAAACTTCTGATGAGACGATAATCATACCAGTAGACAAAATTAAAACTACCCAAGCACCTGACACTACTACTGAAATCACTACCACTTCTAGCAGCACTACTAGCACTCCCGCTCCTAACACCACCACTCCCAAAACAACAACATCTACCATAACACCCAGCACTTCCACTTCCACTACAACTACACCTAGCAGTACCACTTCCACTACAACTACACCTAGCAGTACCACTCTTGAGCCTACAACTACTCCAGCGCCCACACCAGCTCCAGGGCCCGTCCCTCCTCCAGGGCCCGTCCCACCTCCGAAGCAAGGCACATGGAATTACACAGATGGCAACTTGACTTGCATTGTTACACAGTTTGCTGCTCAACTCAACGTGACATACCCCAAAGTGGTAGATAGTGGTAAGTGCTTTAGTTTTTTAATATTTCTGCTGAATAGCTCAAAGCTGAAAAGTAATGTTACATGCGTCCAAACGTGTCCTAATTCTGGGGGTGAAGAGACTAAAAATGCGGCAACTACTCTGCTCCTTTGCACTATACCATAAAAAAAAAATGTTTTAAAAAACGTGAGGTGCTTTTTACTATTGACAACAGGCACCCAACGCTTTTTTTCAAACAAAATTTAAAATTTATTTTCTATTTTTTTGTTTGGTTTTCTATAAAAAGCGTTTTTTAGTTTTTTTAAACTATTTTGTTTTTTTTTAAATTAGTGTATTGATTGTCATCGGTCCTCGATATATCTACAAAGTTTGAACGAATTCTGACCATTTAAAGTCAGTCAAAATCACGCCCAAAGGAGTCAGTTACAAACAAACATACAAGTGAAGCTAATATAAAGTGTGTAAAAAAATATCATAGCATTATGTAACTAATGTTATACCTCATTTTGGGTGCCACATCCAGTCTTCTTAGATAACGAACTATTCGGTATTAAAATCAAATCATGTTAGAATCTTTTGAACATAAATTATATGTTGATTTTAAAACCATTCAATTTACATACAAATATGTACAGATGTTATAAAAATACTTACATTTTAAATTTCCTGGAATTATTTAAATGTTAAGTTCAAATGTTATCTGTGTGGTGATGGATTTAGAATACGGAGTATCACCACCCCTATTCATCCCGTGGGAACCAAGTAAACTACGCAGTACAAAAGCACAACAAAGAGAAGGATAACTTGAAACAAACCCTTTACCAACCTCTCAGGAATGCGTGGTATTGTAGGCCAAAACCTCCTTTCTAAGTAGAGGCTTATGTCCAGCAGTGGACTATTAAAGGCTGTTGATTATCATGATGATGACTAAAACTACAGTTCACAAAATGTGATTATTTAAATTAAATTTAATATACACCTATGTTTATCTCTTCGTGGATATACTCGTATACCTGAGTTTATGTATGTTCTGAGTTTTATTTACACTCAATGAAGGTTATCAAAAAGAGTGATAAATAATGAAATGTGACAATTGTTATTAGTGATATTGTGATAGCGATTAGTATCTATCGACATCATCGTGATACTATCGAAGCCTAGTAAATTAAGTTCATAATCATCATCAGCCTTTACTAGTCCACTGCTGGACATAGGCCTCTCCTTAGAAATTAGGTTTTGGCCTACTACACCACGCTGGCCAGACGGGTTGGTATAGGGTTTGTGTCAAGTTTTCCTTCTCACTGCAGTGCTGTCGTCCTACATAGTTTGTTCCCTTAGTCCCCTCTTACGACACCCACGGGATGAATAGGGGTGGTGACATTCTGTATTCTTAATCCGTCATCACACGGACGATTATTACGGTAATATGGTATAAATTTGATTACTAATGGTAGTATCCTTACTATTGATAGCTTTAATAGTTTTACCCTATTGATAATATACTGCGCTTTGGTTCTATCATTCATAAATCCATGAAAAACAAACTTCCAACACATAGGAAGATAAGTATACTATTATATTAAAACACATTATGTATGTAAATGCAAAGATTATACACACCACTTATACATATGTATATTTTAAATAAATATAGCCGTCTAGATAACAACATTTATATAAGCAATGGCCTTAGTAATTACATTACTCAGTATATTTAATAGTTTTTAAAATAAACAGATTTGTGAGCAACTGTTTTTATTTAATAAGTACGTATATTTTCACATTTCATTTTAACCGAGTTCAAAAATGGGGAGTTCTCTGTATCTTTTACTAACCCCTGACGGAAACCGAGGGGTGTTTTAAGTTTAACCTGTGTATCTGTTTGTGGCATCATAGCGTTCGAACGGATGGACCAATTTCAATAAAAAAAACAATTCAAGTTTCTATTGTTATTGTTTCATGGTATAGGAAGGCAAACGACAGTATGTGATTACTGCCGCCCATGGACACTTGTAATTCAAGAGTCACAAATGTGTTTATGCCCTTTGAGATACCCCCACCCCCAAGCATCTGAGGGAGAGGGGCGCGGGTTTGGGCTCCGGTAACTTCACTCATGCTCTCGCTCTCCCACGAAAACATCTGTAAATCAGGATCATGGCGAATGACTTTCTGTAGTTTCTGCCTACCCCGAACGAGAATGTGGCGTGACGTTTTGTGTATTTACGTGATTTTTATAATTTGATAAGAACGTTACGTTATTTATATCATCTCATTAACTGTTAGTTAATTAGTGGGGTTGACCTCGGTTAATTTTTATATTAGGTACATTAATACTGTGCAGTTTTAATTTATTTAATGACCTTTTAACCGACTCCTATAAAGAACTTTCCTTTACCGACTTCCATAAAAGTTTTTAAATCGTTTTTTTTAAATGTTTTTTACCCTCGAATGTAGACGAGGGGTACCATAAGTTTAACCTGAGCATCTGTCTGTCTGTGGCATCAGAGCTCCCGAATTGATGGACCGATTTCGATGCGGATGGCCAACTCTTCAAAAAATTACAGCATGTATACCATGTTTTGGTTTTATACAGTTTTGTTTTGTGTCGGGGGTTTTTTAATATCGTGTTATTATTAACCTTAGAACTCCGTCAGTTAAAAACTTATTTTGGTAAATTACCTTTTTAAGAAACAGAACATCTTTTTATTTGGAAGGTTATATCTCTGGTGTGGAGCGTGTGGTCCCATTTAAACTTGAAGAAAAGATGCACCCCTTAATTCACTGTGATCTAGAAGTCGGCGATATTTATTTAAAGTTATTTATATTGGTTTAACGTTCTGTAACAAAAGGAATTATTAATGGCTAAAGATCGTCAGGCGGTTTTGAATGTTATGCTTTATTTTATTGACCAGTATCTATCTATAACTGTCACTGTATGTGGTCTTGTGTACCATAAAAGGTCAACAAGCTTATTTAAAGAAGAAAAATAATAGAAACCATATTTTTGACAGTTTTTTCCCTCCATGTTTCAAACACGTTCCATTTTTAAACGACGAAAACACGAAGGAGGCTCTCAAGACAACTCGTAAATATTTTTTACAGCTTCACTGGCACGTGGCCAACTTTATGGTAGATATTACCGACACATCAAGCTACAAAAACATCACACATAACAACACATCAACAGCCTTTAATAGTCCACTGCTGAACATAGGCCTCTCCTTAGAAAGGAGGTTTTGGCCTACTATACCACGCTGGCCAGACGGGTTATAGGGTTGCGTTCCTGCGTCAGTGCTGGTGTCCTGCGTTGTTTTGCGCCCTTAGTCGGCTCTTACGACACCCACGGGATGAATTGGGGTAGTGACATGCCGTATTCTTAATCCGTCACTACATGGAAACATCCAATATTATATTCCAATCCTATGGTACGTAGTTACGACAATTTACGAAATATTAAAGCTGCTCTCTGAAGGGCACCATAGATAAGGAAAGTTAATATTGACAAGGTGTGAAATCTACAATATAAGGGTCTGACAACAACAGCTACAACAAAAACATTACAACCATAAACAAAAATTCGGCCTTCCTGGTAGACAACAAAATCTATGGATTACATAGACAACAAAGTTACCCACTATATAGAGTTAAGGCTATTAAATTAATCTACTTCCTTCCGCTTTATACCGAGAAATCATATTTCCATAAATATTATCTATCTTTATAGGAATATGGTATATTATATTATCTGTTACGTTGTGCGATGTGGTCAAAATGACCGTTTTTAATAGGTATGTAGTCGATAACGGTGACGTAGGGAAACGCCCCTCTGAACACAAGTTATCAACGAAGCATTGTTCGCTCATGTAGGTGCAGTTATGTATCACAATAGTGCATGTAACTGTTTGCCGAGATGTCTAGCGACTGGAACTACACTCGAGTGCAGTGAATCCAGGTCAGGTTAAAAGTTTAGATGTATGGAGGAGTCACGCAGCACCGACCACAACCCAATTAAACATGCTTCTAGGTCTCCTGTCTTAACAACTACAGAGTCAAAGCGAGCTATGAAGAGGTCCATGCTCGCAATTCCTCTGCGGGATCAAATCAGAAATGAGGAGATACGCACAAGAACAAATAGAGATATTTATATGTATAAACTATATGTATGTATATCTAGTACTTATATATCTGTAGGATTTGTTTTTTTCTGCCATTGTAACATGGCTTCATTGCCAGATGAGACTCATCTTTACCTATCCCAAATATACACCTGCCACACACAGCTTTGCAACACCCAAAGGTTTGACTGGAAGAAAATGCCTGAGGCATTAAGTCCGCCTTATGCAATATGTTTGCAGGAAGACTCAATAAATAAATAAATAAACGGATGAGCATCTCAAAGTTGAGTGGGCCGGGCACATTTCTTGTAGAAAATATAGCCAATGATGCCGAAAGGTTCTAGAGTGGAGATATGGATCATAAGTCTTTCTGGAAGTCCTTAAGATGCCTATGTATGAAACATACGAACTCACAAATTTTCGCCTTAACAATATTTTCTGAAGTGGTGATACCAACGAAAATTAAATTTCTCTAATGAGCTTGTGCTCAATGGCTGCTCCTTGACAAATTTGGACACCAGACACAAGTGCGTACCTCCAAGAGTTGGGCAAAGGGGGGGGGGGGGGGTTGTTCCTGTACCTTTCACTCGGTAAAAAGCAACGAAAGGATTACTTAGCATGGGATTTGTAGGTTGAGTAGGTTTGCATGACTGATCTGTGTTATCTATGTCTATGACTACTTTAACGAATTGTGAGCAACGTGGGCTTTTTAAACGACTTCAAAAAGGAGGAGGTTATCAATTCGAATGTTGATATTATTTTTTATGTATGATCGTTCGGCCATAATTCCGTCATATATAGACAGATTTTCAAAATTCTTTTTTTGTTCGAAAGGAGTTTATTCCGAAATGGTCCCATTTAAATTTCATATAGATCTGATGATGGATTTCGGGGACAGACAATGGAA